GTAACTAAAAACGAGTGGCCCCAGGACAGTCCCTTAAGGGACCCCACATAACGTATAGCTTAAGCTCTGTTAAAAAAACTGACTTTCACTATCTGTGTCTTCCAGTGAGGTAAGAATTCAGCCACTGACAGGTCAGCATACCCAACCCCATGGCTTTCAGCTTTAACAGCGTGACACCATGATCTATAGTCTCAAGTGCCTTTTGAAGGTCAAACACAACCATTCCACAGAATTTGCCTGCATCCACCTCCTTCCTGATGCGGTCGGTTTCAGTGGAGTGGGATTTCTTCAGCGCTATGGGGTTTGGGTCTGTGTAATTTATAGTGAGGAATGAAGAACCCCATGGATTTCCATATAGATTTTTTTTCAGAGCAGCAATTAAGTTGTAAATTACCCACCAACATAAGGTTTGGGGCATGATGGCCAACACAGATGGGATAGGAAACTAAAACCAGAGCTGTTTTTCTTTCAGCAAAGAAAGTGCAACTCCAGATTTAAGTGTTCCAACATTTACATTAAACTTGTTTTGTTTATGGTAAATAAAGAAGTTATACTTCTAAAGAGAAAAAGTGTGCATCCTTCAGCGTTTAAAACTGAGGTTTTGCTTTTGTCACATCACAGAGTTCCAAGTATAACGTCCTGTGTGTCTGCAGGAGCTACACCAAGCCTGTAAAAAGGACCCTGATCATGTCCTTAGAGGTTTTCACTCAATTTGGTTTTGGGGACCTGTGAAAAGTGGTGGTCACACCACAGTTTATATTTGTATTTGGAGAATGTGTACAAATATCAGCTACAATATTCAACAAGCTTATATTTAGTAACAAGCCAACAGGAAAGATTTTTACCAGACTTTGACTTACAACCCTGCCGCGTGTTTCTGAGAAGACAGAAGATAAAGGCTTTAGTGCAGATAAAGAGGTCAAATTCCTCTGCATTCAAATCAGAGGATTACCTCGATCTGTGTGCTCGTACACAACACCTCCAACACATGAGGCAGACAGGTGAGACGTGAAAAAAAGGGGAGCTCTGTGTGGTCGACATATGGTAACCTTTAACACTATAAGAACATACTTGATCTGGAAATCGGAGGGAATAAAGACAGTTTTGATGCGTCTTTTTCAAACCACCAGCATTTTAAAGAGCTCGCGGTGAGATTGGGTTTCAGTCTAAAATGCAGAAGAATTTTATCGTCCCTCCCAAAGCTCCCACTGTTTAATGCAATCTGTACAATGAGCTCAGTGTGAAAGCAGACCTTATAGACATTGATGTAATCAGACGTGTACGGCCAGCGGGAGGGCGAACATATGGAATGAGTTAATCTGTCATAATGTGGACCGACTGTGGTAACATCCACAATGTATGACTTCACAGTATAGCTGCAGAATCTCCGTGACATCTTCCCTGCCCACATGTTGTCAAAGTATTCACATCCTTCTCTCAACTCAAAGTGCTGATACCACACAGTAAAAAATACTCAAGTAAACTACAAGTAGTACAGTCCTGCATTCAAAACCCTACTTTAGTAAAAGTGTGTAAGCATTATCCGCAAAATACACTATGAAGAAAAAGAAAAGTATTGATTGAGCAGTTAAATGTTTCCTGTCAGTGTTGTACCATTACATAAGAGTTTTTGGAGAGACACCTAGACGAGATGCCTGCCAAGCCGCAGACCACTGTTCAAGACTAACACACAAAACTGGTTGTGTTTCAGCGATTCATCTCTGTTTCCAGCAGGGAAACTGCCACAAAAAGCAGTTATTTCTTAACCAAGACATCACCGCATTTTTAACTGGGATAGCACATGAAGAGCAGCTGTTCTTTTACCCAGTCATCACTGTGTTTCCTGCTGGGATACTGGCATGGAAAGTGATGGTTTTTACAAAGACATCACTGCATATCCTGCCACGACAGTTTCATGACAAGCAGTTTTTTTACCGACACGTTCCTGTTTTTCCCGCAAAACTATTGCCATGAAAAATGGTTGTTTTTACCAAGATATCGCTACGTTATCTGCCAGGATAGTGTCATGAAAAGCCATTGTTTTATAGTGAGAAATTGTAGAGGTTCCTGCCCGGATAGGGTCACGCATTTTTCGTTTGTTTTTTTGTTTTTGTTTTTTTTTTAAACCACAAAATTGCTGAATTGCTTGCAGGGATAGTGCCAGAAAAAGTTTTTTTTCCTGTTTTCCTGCCAGAATAGTGCCATGACAAATTTACCGATAGTTGCATCTCCTGCAGGAATACTGCCCCAAAAAAAAGGGATTGTTTTTTATAGATTAGATAGATTGTTTTATTTACACTGTTGCATTTCCTGCTGGAATAGCAGCAAGACAAACAGTTGTCTTTTACCGAGAGATAGATGCAGCTTCGGCCAGAATTGTGCCCCAAAAAGCCTTTGTTTTTTACTGAGACATTGCTGTATTTCCTGCAAGAATTTACAAGGACATACTGTAGATGCATTTACACCTGGGATTGTGCCACAAGAAACCAAGAAATTGCTGGACATCCTGCCAGGATACTGCCACAAACAGTGGTTGTTTTTTATGGAGACATCTGTGTTTCCTGTTGGGACAGTGTCACAAAAAGCATTTCTTTCTTTTTTTTTTTACCAAGACATTGCTGCATTTCCTGCAGGGATTCTGCCACAAAAATGGGTTGTTTTCTATCGAGACAGAGCACAGTTTCTTGCCAGAATAATGCCACGAGAAGCAGCCGTGTTTTAGACGGAAGACAGATGCGTTTCCAACCAGAGTTGTGCCACACAGAGCCATTTTTTTTTTTACAGAGACGGCGCTGCATTTTCCACTAGGATAGTTCAAAAAAGCGACTGTTTTTCGCTGTGTTTCCAGCCAGCATAGTGCAACAAACAACGGGTATTTTAAACAAAAACATGATCTTTTCCTAACCATTACCAGGTGGGTTTTGTGCCTAAACATAACCACACATTATCACAGCCTTGCTGAAATGTAGAGAAACGTAAAGTTTCAACAAATCTGCTACATAATAACGCACCAATGTATGGAGATTTTATTGCTGTAGATGTAAAAGGTTGTGCTGAGTTTTACCCCTTTATATACTGTTGGTCAGTTTAATCTGCAGCGATGCATCATATTCTAAAAAAAAAAACATATGTTTGTAGCATGGCTGTCCTGTGAGAACGAAGAATCTCTTAAGTCAACTTTTCACGGTATCAGAAAAACAGCCCTGCTTTCAGCTTTGTGACGATGCATTTTCCAGCTGATACAAGAGAGTTTTTAAAGAGATTCTTTAGCTTAAGAAGGAGGAGACCTTTCTTGACACATAAAACTCTCAAATTTATACTTCAGACAGTACTTGAGTAAATGTACTTGGACCCCTGATTGTATATTGCTTGCATGTCTCATTTACCAAGAGCAGAGCAGGAGGAAAAACCACATGCTGCTGTATCCGATCATCTTCCACTCCTCGCCTGCATTATGTAAGTCTTCAGACCATTGGAACAATATAAACACAACCCTGTAATGCAAACCATCAGGAGCCCCTGCAAGTGGTTTTCACTGGGCCCCTTTGTGCCAGGGGACCACGCAAGACTGAAGTAGACTAAAGGCCACTCCACATAGGAGCTGTTTCTTTACGCATTACCCCCAGACGCCCCCTCACCTTCCTCTGGCAACTTTAGTGGAGCATAATCTCCAGAGACAGCTGGTTATGTCACGCAGACTTCCCAGTGAACCTGATCGAGGCTCTCTGTGTCACTGTGAGCTTTAAGGTTTCATTGTTTTTTTCCTGTATAATCTGAGTAAGAGTCAACAGCCATATTAGCAATTCTGCTAGCATCAGCATGCTAACATGCTCATGACAAAATGAAATGTTCCACTTTATTAATAAGCTTGTTTCCTGAAAACAGCTGCTGACACCCTTGATGAGAACACTGAGACTAAACCAAAACAACACAGGTGCGGCTTGTAAAGTCAAAACATTGAGCTGAAAGAGGCTAAAACGGTTACTAGAACTGCAAAGCTGATAATAAATCTCTGTAGGTTTGTCACTACGAGTGACCACTGTTCACATTACACAGTTATTTGATCTATTGTTAATATAACAATGAAACATCAGAGCAGCTTTAAACAAATAAATAACAGCAGAATTTGAAAATACACCCTCCTCCTGCAGCTCTCCCCTCTCTGTCCTAAGGTTCAGGTTCAGGTTACTTTATTTATACCCGTAGGTAGATTTGTTTTGCAGCAAGATGGTGACATCCACTCAACAGACAAATGACAAAACAAAAGAAAACAAAAGCCCTCCCACCAGACAACCACGGGTATATGCACAAGCTTCATACAGTAACCCAGTTTTAAGTAGACTGATTTATTTAATCTAATTTCATTGCCGGGTGTCACAGCACACTGGGGCCAGTGGCAGCAAAGGGTCTAACCTGCGTAACAACAGCAACATAAAGTTTGCTGATCCGGCCGTGAATTTGGGCTGTGAGTCCCTCGGAGCCGGGATTCGGATTGTTGCAGCCACTGGCTAGGAGTCCGTCTCAAGAGCTGCTGCCCGCTTTCCTCCCGGCGAGGTGGTCTGTAGCAGCGGGGAGTGAGGCGGAGGACACACTGTGATTCGAGCCTTTAGAGAGGGTTAAATGTGAACTTGAAACCGCAACTGTGAGCCTTTAGCTTTCATTAGCAGAAGGCTAAACTATTAGCAACATTTTTCTCTCCATCTCTGAAACACTTCTGATACTGACACGTTTTATTTAATATACTGTCAAACTTTCTTTTAGACTCTGTTCTTGATCAGTCCGTCTTCCTGATTCGGGTTGCTTTGCAGTAATAGCAACTTTCTCGCAGTGTTCTCCACCACTGAATCAGGCTTTCACCATCTGAAGAGACGTACACGCACATCTGCATTTGTACAACAGCCAATGGGAACGCCTTCTCTCTGAAATGTCCCATCATACTTTAGTATTATTTTCTATTTTAGTGCCAAGAAATCTTAAAAATAAAAAACAAAACTTGCACGTTTTGATTTTAAATACCTCGCTTTAATCTTCAGGAACACCGTGACTAACAGTGTAATAACTATAATAGATGCCTGCCGGTGGTTTCCCTACCTGTCGGCCCACATGAGTCGGCTGGCAATGTTTGTCAAAAACACTTTTTATTTTATTTGCAGATGGAACAGTTGAGACACTCACAGGAAAGCGAAATCACACGTTCATAAACAGTATTTTAAACAATGGAACATTTATTATCTCCAAGTTAATCTTCATTCATTCACTTATTTATAATAAAGGAGGCATTTGACACCAAACTGCATCAAAAAATACATTCACACCTTTACAGAAGACAGTAGTATACAAACAGGAATGCGTCCGCTCTGCTCGACTCACTATATGACAGAGGAGTGTTTGATTCTTCAGTTTCAACTCCTACAGTGCACATGAAATACAAGGACCCAGAGGTAAGTTGGATAAAGAGGTTTCCACCTTGAGGAAGGCACACTGGTAGTAAAATACAGTACACCTTACAGTCAGCTTTTCTGCCCATTAAGTTCCCTTGTTGTTGATGCAGAAACATTTCTTTAAAATCACAGTAAAAAAAACAAAACAAAACAAAAAGCCACCACAGTAACTGTCTACTGCCCTTGATGAAGTGATAAAACTATAAAATGTTTCAGATCAATGCTGATGATCAGCGAACACTGAGCAGAGCAAAATTAACACGCTGGAAATGTCTGTTTTTGGTAGAACTTAGTAAAAAAAAAAAAAGTGTTTTTAAGTGACAGAGCATCTTCACATGTCCTGCCTTAAGGAGACAGAACAGTCTCAACCCAAACAGCCTCAATGCAAACACACTTAAAGAAGTGGGAGAGAGTCTTTGAGTGTCATCAACTTTACAGAATACTAAAATATGGCATCACTTCACTTGTGTGCAAGTCTCTTTGAAATATACCGAGCAGAGCACCATGTATCAGTGTTCCAGTTCAAGATAGTGGAATAAAGTTGGCAAATCAGTGAATGCACAATGCCAGCTCTGTGTGTGCTTGTGTGTGTGTGCGTTTGTCAGTCCATGTCATGTCATAGTAGAGGTTCTCTCTCTTCGGTTGAAGTGCTCTTGTTTCCATCTGTTGAGGTGCCACCTTCACATTTACCTCTCTGTGTCAGGACCAGAACAAAGAAGGAGAGCGTTAGGAAGTGTTCAGAAGATAAGAGGCACTTTCTGGTAAAGATCATTCAAAACAAAGCAGCTGAACACTCGTAGGCAAATTCACAACAAATGGATTGTTGCCACTGATAGCAACGTGAATTGCAACTCACTTGCAACCACCATCTGCCTCGTCTCAAGGTCCAATTCACAAAAGATATGCACCGATCTCTATCACCTGAAATCTGCATATGTGTGCAGAATGTGTTGTCGACAGGACAAAATTTTGGTATCAGTTCTCATTTTTGTTTGTAGTCCAAGTAGTACTGACCAATTCTGTTTGAACAGCAGACATAAAGTCTGTGTGGAGAGGTGGAACGCATTGGCCGAGGTACAATCTCGATAGTCTCATGACACGTTAGCTTTATAATATTTTTTAAAATGTATCTTCATTCATATGCAAATATCTGTTTATAGATGTTAACTAAAATGAGCCTCGCACATAAGGGGAAGTCACCAGATCAGCCCAAAATATTGGCTCTCGCCCCCGGAGGCTGTATCGTCCTCAGATGACAGTCACTGGATTCCGAGGTTGATAATGCACCATTGATAGTACAGTGCAAACACACCTGATAGAAGTTTTGCAAGTGCAATTTCCCATTATGTCGGTGAAGATTCTCAGTCATCCAGGTCATGGTTATCATAAGTGCTATGTCATAGGCAACTGGACTTGCTCGAGTTTCTTGAAGAAAAAGTTCTAACGAACTGTAAACAACCACTCCACAAGTGCATGGCACAGCACAGGAGAGCCAGGTCCTCAGGTCAAGACTCGGCTCTTCATTTACATCTAAAGAAAAAAGGGATATTCTTTCGAGGACAGCAATGTTCACATCTTGACCAGGGAAGACAGATGGTTTGAAAGACGCGTGAAAGAGGCCATCTACATCAAACCGGAATGACCATTGTTAAACAGAGGAAGTGGCCTACGATACCACTTATCACCCATCTACAATGCCGTCTTGGGATCCCTCCGTCCAACACGCATTCACACCTGGACCATCTAACCCTTACGAAACACATAACGGCTGGGTGGGTCAACGACTCACATGTGACCCCAATGACTCTGTCAGGGTTCACACTAACAGAGTTTAAAGCCTGCGACTCTACCCTGGAAATCCAGAGTTCTCACGAGAGCACAATTTGAATTTGCTCAGCGAGTCACTCTGGCAATCAGTAATGATGCTCATTACCCATGCCGTTGGAGCCGAGCTGCACCAGTCACATTGGTGTATCTGATATAGGCGGGCCAGAGGCGAGCTAAACAGATGACGACAGCGCTGCGATGATGAAGTCCGGAATCAGTCAGTAAACACTGCAAGATGGCTACGGATGAACACCAGTTGTTTGAAACGGCTTTGGCCGCTACAATGAACGAGTTAGACTTGGCTTTTTCTCTAAAAGAGGAACAGAAGACAGCGCTCAAATCTTTCCTTTGCAAGAAGGACGTTTTTGCTGTTTTGCCGACCGGATACGGAAAGAGTCTAATCTACCAGTTAGCTCCGCTGGTAGCGCTCTGGATACATCACCCCGTGTATTGTTCTGATTGGTCGTAGTGTTATCCAATTGCGCGCAGTGATATTTTCAAATGCATGCTTGGTGCCGCCCCTTGAGTTGGGCCATTTTCATTACTCATAGCCAGACCCTAAATCTTTCTAGATTTGGGTCTGGATTTCCAGGCTACTGCGACTCAGCACCAGTCCGTTAAAACTGGGAAAGACTCTTGGATGAGAGGTGGCACATCTTCAAGAAACTCAAGCAAGTCCAGTTGACTACGACATAGCACTTAAAATTTCCTGTTTTGCGTCAGATTGAGTATAAATGCACCAAAAACGCAGAACAATGGCAGAGAGAGAAAAAGAAAATGAAAAATTTCAGACCACAAGCTACGGGTCCTGATTGACGAGGTGCAGAGGCATTCCTGAAAATGGAAAGGAATTTAAAGGCCCTAACACACTAAGCCAAGAGCTGGCCATTGGTCAATGTCAGGCTGTTCATGAGCATCTGTCACCTTAGTTTTTGCATTATGTCCCCCAACGCTGGGGGCCCTGTCAGCTTTTTCTGGCAGGATCAGCATGCTGAATCAGAGTCGGGAATGATGGAGCCTGTTAGTGAGAGAAATTACTCTGTTTGGAGGTTCAACTCATAGGACAAGAAGAGAAATGGAAGTGAGGAAAGCAAACAAACAACTAAAATCAAGAGGGCGTGAGATCGACACAAATTTGTTGTATTAGGTAAGTTTATTTTTCCGGCCCTTGAGCTCTTAAACAGAAACAATTTGTTCCTGTTTGTGTTATTGTTCTCTGGTGCACAGTAAATATCCTTTGTTCTTTCAACATCAGGTTGAGTTGTTTATGTGCTAACTGGCTAATTAGCGCCTTGAATCCATCCTGTCGGTCTTTCTGTATCCATTTTTCAATGATGAACACAGACTACCACCCCATGCTAGTATGGAGAGTTATTTTTTCTCACACATGTGCCCAACATAAATGCCAGATGACTGTTGGCTGTAGTCTTTGTAGTGTGTTCAGTGCTACTTTTTGGCAGACACACAGGAAATGTGAGACAATGCCACAGTCGTCTTTGGTTGCCACTAGTTCTCTGATATTGGTTTGGTGTGTCCTGGCCTTAGATGTGACAGAGAGAAACCGTGGCTGTTTTCTTAGAAGTTCCACTTCCCCTCATGCACTTACCCTCTGCCTCTGGTGTTACACAGCGGCATATGTGGCACAGAGAAAGCGGGCAGAAGAGGCTTGACATGGAATGCACCTGCCCTTTTGTACACTTTCAGCCTACACTATCATGAATCGACGGCCAGTTCTAGGCTTTTTACAAATCATCAGAAATAGCTGCAGAGTCATTCCAGTGGGGCGACAGTGTCTTCTGCAGATGATTGCAATACATTACATTTAACTGATTGAACTCCATGAGATGATGAACCTCTTACACACCATCCACTTACACTGAATGTCAGTCAATAATCCCCTTCTCACACTCTCACTGATCTCTGGTCTGAGCTTGATGGACTTGTATTAGTCTATGCAATGTATTTTTTTTTTCTTTTTTAGATATTTTTAGCACTAGCACTTTTGCTGCTGATGTATAGTTTTATCTATGTTTTATTCAGAGTCAATGTTGTGTGGATTTGAATGGCAATTAATTCTATCTACCTAACTACCTAACCATCTCTATCTCTCTATCTATGTATCTACCTAACTACCTAACCATCTCTATCTCTCTATCTATGTATCTACCTACCTACCTAACCATCTCTATCTCTCTATCTATGTATCTACCTAACTACCTAACCATCTCTATCTCTCTATCTATGTATCTACCTAACTACCTAACCATCTCTATCTCTCTATCTATGTATCTACCTACCTACCTAACCATCTCTATCTCTCTATCTATGTATCTACCTAACTACCTAACCATCTCTATCTCTCTATCTATGTATCTACCTACCTACCTAACCATCTCTATCTCTCTATCTATGTATCTACCTACCTACCTAACCATCTCTATCTCTCTATCTATGTATCTACCTACCTACCTAACCATCTCTATCTCTCTATCTATGTATCTACCTACCTACCTAACCATCTCTATCTCTCTATCTATGTATCTACCTACCTACCTAACCATCTCTATCTCTCTATCTATGTATCTACCTACCTACCTAACCATCTCTATCTCTCTATCTATGTATCTACCTACCTACCTAACCATCTCTATCTCTCTATCTATGTATCTACCTACCTACCTAACCATCTCTATCTCTCCATCTATGTATCTACCTACCTACCTAACATCTCTATTTCTCCATCTATGTATCTACCTAACTACCAAACCATCTCTATCTCTCTATCTATGTATCTACCTACCTACCTAACCATCTCTATCTCTCTATCTATGTATCTACCTACCTACCTAACCATCTCTATCTCTCTCTATCTATCTCTGCAAAGAGGCTCATTTGCATAGAAAGGGGCTGATTTTGCACCATATGTATACACACTACCTATTTGCTTGGCAGCACAGTTAGGGTTGCATTTTTTTCTTTGCAGGTACATTTGAGGGTTACATGGTTCCTTTTTGTCTCGTTTGTGCAGTTCCAGCGGACATAAAAGCAGCTCAATCCTGTTGTGAATTTGCTCATAAGACTTTCAACCTTTTTCAATCAAACATCAGGCATGAGGCTGTTTGTACCCTGACATAAAACATTTCTGTCATATTCTTACCTGTGTTTTCATTTCCCATCGCTGCAATCACTGTCCTATTGACACTGTTCTCTTCCATACATATCCAGACATTTAATCAGATCTATCTGAGACTGCTGTGAGTGAACCCCAGTATACTCATCATGACACAGGGTCTGTTTGGACAAAACACAACTTGGTGTTTTTCTGGTTTTAGTATCACTCTGTGGGTGGACTGATATATTCTCACACATTTTCCCTGCAAATAATCCCATGGTGAGTCAAGAGGCAGAAGCCAGGTGGGGTGCGTGCGTAACAGCAGGTTGCAAACCTGATATTATGCCTGTGAGAGCATGGTAAATTCAATTAAACGTGGAGCACACCGCAGCTTTATTGGTGTGTGACCTAACTGCAATTATACAAATGTCTTTTAAAGTCTTACTGTCAAAAGATCTGGACATAATTATTCATTCAATAAACATCAGTGCACAAATACTGTTAAGTTTTTGGTATGACACACATGAGTCATGTGAGGTCACAAACAGTAATTAAATTAACGTGAGTAAGTGAAAACTGAGGTGTGAATGTGAAACCACAAACATGAAAGCTGGTAATGATGCATCATCCACATTTTCATGCCTCGACCTGTAGGCCATGAAAGGTAAAGGTAAAGGTAAAGTTCCACTGATTGTCACACACCTGAGTGTGTGAAATTTGTTCTCCGCATTTGACCCATCCCCTGAGGGAGCGGTGAGCAGCAGCGGTGCCGCGCTCAGGAATCATGTGTCTAACCCCCCAGTTCCAACCCCTGCCAAGCAGGGAGGCAATGGGTCCCATTTTTATAGTCTTTGGTATGACCCGGCCGGGGATCGAACCCGCGACCTCCCAGTCTCAGGGCGGACACTCTACCACTAGGCCACTGAGCTGGTGGACATAATCAAACAGTTTCAACAGCTTGCAATGTCTTATCAGTGTGTTTGGGGCTGCTAAACATACAAGCTTATGCTGTTAAAGAGAAAACCAATTTTCCTGTTTTCAGCTCTGCAGCTTAAACACAACTACACAAAATACATGAATACATTTACATACATGTGTTTGCCTTTGTGTGTGCACCCACCTGAGTTATTTGATACATTTCTCCTTTGTTTCGTGGTAATGTGCGCCTTTTACTCGTTCTTTAGCGGAGGCCTAAAAGACGACCAAATTGTCTCACACATCAGCCAATCAGAAAATACAACTGATCACACATAGCTTGCGGCTTGATTGAAGCGGGTGCGCAGGTTAAAATAAGCAGCACCAGGTTTTATTTTAGATTGTGGATGTGCAGAGACATTAGAGTTCATGCAAGGAGCCATTTCTGGTGGAAATTGATTCTGCCATGTGGTTTATTGAGACAACGTGCGATTGGTTAGTTCAGTGTCTTTTTTCACATGATCATACACAATTAAATGTGAAAGCATTCAGTTTGTTTGCCTCCACAGCTTTTTAAGCGACTCATCATCATGCAATGGAAATTAATAAGATGTAGAAGGATAAGAGAAGCTGAAATTTAAAATCTGTAGTACAGAAAAAAGTGCCTGAAATGACAGACTTATGATATGGATCAACAAATGCTACATCATGAAGGTATATTCTCCTTTCTATTCTTCCACAAAACACAGGGCTAGACCACCTTTAATCAGCCATTATAATACAGAGGAGTATTAAGGCCAGGCATAAGGGGAAAATGAGATGAAATGACCTTTGACCACCAAAGTGGGTGCCAAATTTGAAGAAATTCACTCGAGGTGTCCTTGAGATATCACGTCCGTGAGAATGGGGCGGATAATCTAAAACCGTTTCTAAAAACACTTCTTTTTTATGCTGTGGCCAAAATCAGGAAGTAAAAATGAACGGTAACTCCTTCAATTTACAAAAATGAAATCAAATGATCTTAATGCACTGATTAGACTTGAAGAAAAAAAATCCAAAATCAAAATTTTTGAACCACAGTTAAAAAAAAATCAAATCAAAATTTGGAGTACTTTGCATTCGGATGATTGAAACCAGATTGTGTAGGTAAGGAGGATGTAATAATGAGTATCAATAAATAAATGAATAAATACATAAATAAATACAGGAATAAATATATAAACATTAAAACTGATAAATAAAGTAATAAATAAATGCTGAAATAAATATGGAAATAAATAATAAATGCATAAATAAAGAGATTAAGACCTCTTACATCATCAATTTATAGACACATAAATAAAAAATAAATAAATAAATGTACTTGCACAAAAATGTAGATTAATTAATTAATTTAAAATATTTATTAATGCATGTCCTGTTTGATAATCAACTTTTACTTATTTATTCATGTATTTATCTATTTTCTATATTTCCATATGTATTTAAACATTCATTTCTTCTTGCATTTATTTATTTATGTGTGTATTTCAGCATTAATTAATCTTTTATTTATTCATTTATCCCTGTATTTATTCATACATTTATTTAATTAATTCTGTATCTATTTATCCAGGTATTTATTCATACATTTATTTAATTCTTTATTTATCCCTGTATGCTTTCATACATTTATTCATTTCAGAATTTATTTACTGATACTTAAGTCATTTTTCGTCCTCCATACACAGGGGCTTTAAAAAGCTTTACAAACCCCAGGGTTCTCCACTCCTGTGGAAATCATTTCCACATTTGTACGAGACCTCTGCAAACATAAAACATTGAAACCCACTTTTACTCATGATGTTAAAAATCTGCCACTGTTTATATCTAGACGACTTTCATTGAATTCTAAACGTCTTACCAAACAGTTAACCTAACTGCCGCTGATATATCAGACCATATAAACAGCAGTGTTGTGATAGTGAGATGTCAACACTGGCTGAAAATACACATGCAGGCTACTCATTAACTCAAGTTATTGGCTGGTTTATGGACTTATACAACATCAAGTGTAATGTGTTTCATAACACATCACGTAACGCAAATTAACTTATGATGTTGACTTGACGGACATGCCAGTACTTGACGTTCATTTCAAGTAATAGTTTGACATTCTGAGAAATATGCTTATTAGGTCTCTTGACAAAAGTTAGATGAGAGGATTGATAATACTGTGTCTGTAGGCTCAATGTGAAGCTAGAAGCACAGGGTAGCCTGGCCTTGCTTATAAAGACTGGAAACAGGGGAAGCAGCATGCTGGCTCTGTCCAAAGGTAACAAAACTCACCTAACAGCATTTCTAAAGCTCACCAATTAACACTTTACATTTGTTTAATAAGTACAAAGGTTAAAGCTCTGCTAGCCTTGCATCAAGCCTTAATGCTTAGCTAAGCTAACTGGCTGCACCTTTATATTTAGCACACAGACACGAGAGTGGTATCTGTCTCATCATCCAACTCTCAGAAATGACCGATTGATACCACTCTCATGTCTGTGCGCTACATATGAAGGTTAAGCCAGGAAGCATTTAGCTTAGCTTAGCATAAAGACTGGAAACAGGAGGAAACAGCTGGCCTGGCTCCATCCATCAATTTTCATGTGATTATCCATGGCCGGGTCAGGGGGGCAGCAGGCTGAGCTAAAGTCCTCCAGACGTCCCTCTCATTAGAGACGCTTTCCAGCTCCTCCTAGAAGACCTTGAGGTGTTCCCAGACCAGATGAGATATATAATAAAGGGCCTCCTACCAGTTGAACATGCCCAGAAAACCTCCAACGTGAGACACCCAGGAGGATCCTGATCAGACGCCCGCACCACCTCAATTGGGCCCTTTCAATGTGAAGGAGCAGCAGCTCTACTACGAGCTCCTTACCCTATCTCTAAGGCTGACATCAGCCACCCTACACAAGAAACTCATTTCAGCCACTTGCATCCATGATCTCATTCTTTAGGTCACTACCCAGAGCTCATGACCACAGGTGAGGGTTGGCCAAACTGCCTATCCATCTCACACTGCATTTTACCCTCACTTGTGAACAAGACCCAGAGATACTTGAACTCCTTGGCTGGGGGCAGCAACGTTCCTCCTAACCAGAGGGACAATCCACCATCTTGCAGCAGAGAACCATTGTCTCATAATTGGTGGTACTGCATCCTGACTGCTTCACACTTGGCTGCAAACTGCCCCAGTGCATGGTGGGGGTCATGGTGTGATGAAGCCAACAGAACCACATCTGCAAAAAGCAAACATCTAACTTTGAGGTCCCCAAACCGTACCCCTTCCTCCCACCGGCTGCACCTTGAGATCCTGTCCATGAGTAACATAAACAAAGGACAAAGGGCAACGCTGGTGGAGGCCAACACCCACTGCATACGTGTTTGACTTTGTGCCAAATAGCCTATATGGACACCGCTCTCACTTTGGCTATTTAAGGACCGGATGGCTCGTAGCAACAACCCCAGTACCCCCTATTCCTGCAGTACCCCCAACAAGACTCCCTGTGGAACGTGGTCGTAAGTGTTTCCCACGTCCACAAAACATATGTTGACTGCATGGACAAACTCCAACAACCCCTACAGCAGCCCTGCAACGGTGAAGAGCTGGTCCACTGGTCCACTGTACAGACTTTATGCTAAGCTAAGCTAACCATCTCCTGGCTGTAGGTTCATATTTAGCACATGAACATGAGAGTGGTATCGTTTAATTCTTGCTGAGAGCTCGATACCACTCTCACATCTGAACACTAAACATGAAGCTAGAACAAGAAGGCAGTTAGCTTAGCTTAGCATAAAGACTTCATCTAATGGAAACAGTTAGCCTAGCTCTAACCCTTACCTTTGCACTAATTAAGCAAACAGGGTTTAATGTATCAAGTTTCAGAGGCAGAATTTTGTATATTCAAAAAGAGCTAGGATAGCTGTTTCCCTGCTTTCAGTCTTTACGCTAAGCTAAGCTAACCATCTCCTGGCTGTAGCTTCATATTTAGCATACAAACATGAGAGAGAAAAGAAGCTTGTGACCACTCTCATGTCTGAACGCTAAATATCAAGCTAGACCAGGAAGGCAGTTAGCTTATCTTAGCATTTAGACTTGATGTAATGGAAAACAGTTAGCCTAGCTCTAACCCTAACCCTTGTACTGATTAAGCAAACAAGGTTTGATGTATCTATTAAACGAGCTAGGCTAGCTTTTCCCTCCATTTCCAGTCTTTTTGCTAAGCTAAGATAACCTTCTCCTGGATGTAGCTTCACCTTCAGCATACAGACATGAGATTGGTGTTGATCTTTTCATTTTACTCTCAGCAAGATAGTGCAAAATGTGCACTTAATGTCAAACTATTCCTTTAAAATACTTTTGACATCAGATGACATGTTTTATGAAAATATTAAATTCCTTCCTATTTACCAAAGAGACATTAAGATGTCATCTTATCTTTGAAGTGTGTTAAAGAGCGTTCTCAGAGTTTGTTTGTATGCATTTGACAGCACAATAAAAACATACTCTAAAGGCTGAATCTGTACCTAAGAGTCCAGATGTTGACTTATTAACAAACTTTTCCTGCCTTACATAAAACAACCATAACGTCCCTAAACCAGTGCAAATATGTACTTCATGATGACACAACACAAGACCTGTTACCTTAGCCTTATTACTGTGTATTGTGCCACGGCCAAATATGCCATGGCTGATAATATTTCAGTGTGAAGGTAAACAGGAGGGAAGATCTCCAAGGAGCAGCTGGAGGAGCTACACCTGACAGATAATAACTTTTACTCTCTTTATCCAGTCAGTCAGCAGCAGGTGAGAGTTTAGAGAGATAAAGTTTGTTGTTGGAGTGCTATATAAATACATGTCAGCAGAGGAGCAGGAGTGACTGTGTGAAGGTGCTCAAGGTTTTAAAACCACAAATAATCTACAAGTTGTTTGACTGTGAATCTTAAAGGATATCCCCTAACACGTAGCCTATTGTGTGTGTATCAGTATGTTTACATGACATCAGAGAAAATTGATTTATTGTGTTAGTCCAATTAAAACCAGACTTTTAAGATACATGTAAACATGTTAGTCGGACTGAAATCAGACTAAATTGGACTAACACACCCAGATAATGTGACTGGGAGTCGAAAGACTCCTGGATGGCCATGGCATTCGGCACATGCTCCACAGTGTCAACCCTGAGCTTTGACCCGGAAGTTGAAAGCATTAAATGCGTAACAGAAGAAGAAGCCGGTCTCAACATGGCGGAATCTACAACCAGAGTGGTACATTTTTGGATGGACAAAATGTACAGAGCTGTTAAGCTGTCCACCATGGCACCAGTTTGCTACTACCTAACTGTAGCTAACCAGTTGGTCAATTGTTTGGTCTGTGATGCAATACGTCCAATACTAACAAGCTAAAAGGGGCACAACCAACCATCATAGCACAGTCAGACATACTTCGGTCAGTTAATCAATTCCCCTCCCGTGCTTGTATACCGGGACAAGGACAGTAGTCCAATCAAATGGCCTGGTCGAGCTGTAACCGTAGCTCGACTTCACTGTGCATGTAGACGTTATGAATGAGCCATGCTGTTGCACTGGGTGTTCATCCAGCTGAGCCTGATTTTAAAAAAATGAAACTATATGTGTTAGAGATTTACGTCTTCAGTAGGACCCAACAGGCTTGGGGCTGACAGTCAGACAGTATTAAGAGATGGACTAGCGATAATGATAATAAAAATCTAGACTGTCTTCCCACCACTCAAAGCGTTTTTTACACTACATGTCACATTCAACCATTAGCACACTGGTGGCTCAGGCTACCATATAAGGTGCCACCTGCTACTCAGTAAGCATCCACACGCTCTAACACACGGATGGACCAGACATCAAGAGCAATTTGGAGTTCAGTATCTTGCCCGAGGATACTTCAACATGCACTGTGATGTAGTTTTACGGTTGTTAAATGTGGACCCCCTTTAACTTTATTTTTTATATTTTGATTCTTTTAATTTTTCTGTTTTTTATATTTTTAAATTTTTATTTATTTTATTCTTTATTTTTTAATCTTATCTTTTATTAAAGAATATTCACCTTTTTGGGGGATTTTTTGTTCACTGTGGACCCATGTGAGAACATTTTTTTTCACAAATCCAACGTAACATGTTTTTGTTGTTACACCTCTCTGTATCTGAGTGTTTAAATGACACTAAGAGATGATACACAAATATAATGCCTGATCTTAACAAGGTGTTTGATTCTAAAACCGGCTGCAAATAATTAAATCAGTCGATAATGAAAAATAATTTGCTCATCCCGCTGCGTGTGACGCCCAGCACACTCATTATGACTGCAGGGCTGGAGTCGGGTTGTCTGATCTGGTTGTTTTTCTGGTTTTAATGCCAGTCTGTGGGAGGACTGACTAATATATTCTCACCTTTTCTTCCTGCAAACAGTCTCAGGAGTAGTCAAAAGAAAGAAGCCAGATGTCGTGCCTTCATAATAGCAGGTTGCCAACCTCTTATGCCTGTGTGAGCATGATACATTAAATGTAATCTGGAACGTACTGCAACTTGTTGCACTGTGTGACATGATCCTTCATCACCATGAACACACACACAGTAGTTTGTTTAGGCTCACTCCTACATACACCATCCTGCTGCCACAAATACTCACTGGAGCTGTAAATGTGTATTAATCTGCCGCTGAAAATGTTTGAGCACCAGCTATTAAAATGAGGTACGGAAATTAATTTAATGCTGAACCAAGGTAAACATTAACCAATAATTATCAGAGCACCCTCTGCGAAGTCTCTCCTGCTCCTTTCCCCACGTCTGTGGGAGAACATGCGTAGCAACATGCTACATGCAGTTAAAAAAGCGTAACACAGAGCATGCGCCTGCATGCTGTGTGTCAGCTTTACCTTCAGTCTGTGATGCATCAGGGCGGCGATTACTATCGTGGCCAGGCCGAGGGTGATGAAGCCGTACTGCATGTACTCCATCACAGCAGGTAGGACTACCAGGTTTGTGTGGAACGTGGTGAGGATGGGGCCGTCTATGTAGCCTCTCTGAGGAGGAAGTAAAGGCAAAAAATAAGAATGCAGTGTGGTTTACAACAGGATTATGAACAGAAGGCAACACTTGGTTTTTCCAGTTCTGAAGAAAAGTCAGTTCCTGTGCACACTTATCGCCTCTGAGTTATTTATAAATAGCTGCTGTTTCAGTCACAAGGACCTTTGTCTTGTCTATATCTATGCCGTGTGGCCAATTTTTAAAAGAAATAAATCAATGCAGAGATTATAAAGTGAGCGCGGGAATTGACTTCTTGTTTTGGTGTTACAGGATTACAGTATCTTTGCTTCAGTTTTCACAACATAGGTCATGGAAAGAGACAAATTGATGTGTTTATCTTGTTATCTTTAAACCACAAGATGCTGACCTTGTAGTAATAGTACATGTTTCAAGGCTTTCTACCAAACAAACAGCACTTCTCTTTATTTTACTTACATCACCAGGTGAGCAGCATTAGAACATACCTTTAGCTACTGCTACTGCTACATGTCTCAGAGATGACAGCAGCAGAATCTCCATTTTAAACAGCATGTACACATTATATATCAGTGTTTCCAGTGTATATTATACTACTACAGCCTTCACTACTAAAACAACTGTTGATACTTTTAGGATTCTGAATGTTAAATACATATTGTAACATACTATAAAAGCATAAAATATTATACACACATACTGCTCAGTACCTGTGGTATGCAGCACTTGTAGTAGGTAGTACATACAGTAAATGTAACCATGTACTAATACATTTATTACAACTACGTCTCCCGTACATCTTGTCAATGTCAAAACATTCAGCTCTTTCAGGACATTCATACGTTACTTTAATCACTTTTTATGCTTTTTAAAGTATGAACTACTCCAACTGCTACTTCTCCTGTACATTTTTTGATTACTTACTACTTCTACGTACCTTCAGCTACAGATACCATTCAAATGTCAAAATGATTATGATTTTTGTCTAGTCATTTTATCAGTTTTTATTGTATATTACGTAATTGATTGATTCTATGATTGATGGATACATTGCTGCTTCTTTTTTCTTTTTACCTCTGTCTTGTTTTTATTTATTTATTTATTCATTTAACCCAAATTTAGTCCTGTTGAGATCAACAATCGCTTTTACAAGGGAGACATGGCCAAGACAACAACATTAGGTATCCTTGAGTGCTTTGAAAGGTGCCTATAAATAAAACGCATAATTATTATTAATATTATTATCATCCGAGTACCACCACTAATTACCTTTTCGCCGGCGTTGGTCTGTTTGTCTGCAAAATAACTCGAAAAGTTCTGAACGTATTTTGATTAAATTTTCAGGAAAGGTCGATAATGGGACAAGAACAGATGAAAATATTTTGGTGGTGACTGGTTGAAGCAAAGTGGATAAAATAATAAAATGGCGGGAAATCCGAGCAGCTTGGCGGAGGTCTGCGCCCTCCGAGCGCTCTAGTTTTATTTATTAGATCTTATTTTTTCCAAATCCTCTTATTTTTATTTTTTTATGATTTAACTCAATCAATAGTTTGTGTTATACAGATGTAGATTTACTGTGAAGTCTGACTCGACACATCATTATCTTTATTTAAATTTAAGTCTTCCAAAGTCAATTTATTCTACGTTGTTTCAAATGCTGAATTATGAATGTAAATAACTTTTCTTCTGGTTGCTGTTTGTAGAATATCGAGAAAACAGCCAGTTTAAAGAGAAATAGTTACATTTCACAGTATAGTTTAATATCAACCTTTTTACTTTAAATATAACAATGATTTAAGCTGAATAATTAACATGTTGTGATGCTCTAACTTGCTGTGTGATGTACGGCATTGTCATTTTCTGTCTGTCTGAGACCAAAATTTAAACATTCTGTGTTTTACAAACTCTGGAAACGCTTGTGAAAACTGAATCAAAGCAAGTGTGAATTACAGTGATACAGAAAAGGCACAATATGATCTGAACAACAATTACACACAAAGAAGAAAACCAGTTATGAAACACTGGAAACGCTGGGAAAGCAGACGTGGGAACTCTTTCCTGTTTCAAGGGTACCTACAGAGTTATATTTGATTAGCAGACCACTTACCTCCTCAAACCAGATCATTGGCATCACCACCTCAGAAATCTTGCCAGTTTCTCTGCAAGGAAAAAACACTGAGCTTCAAACACCAAGGCTACATGGTGAGCGTAAGAAAAGCAGGAAGTGTCCTTAAACCTGTCACATAAATACGAGCACAATGCACGACAAATGTTGTTGGCATGATTATACATCAGGGAATAGCTTCCTTACGTAATCGCTGACACTTTCTTCATGTAGAGGTTGAGCTGCAGGCGGATGGACACATTTAGAGGGACGCCCGTGAGCTGGGGGGAGACAGAAACACACATTCAGACTTGATAGGTCCAGGGGGATAAACAAGCCTTAAACGACCCCTCATTAAGGATTAAACTGGGACATTTACATTTCCTTACGGCTGTCAAAAAGATTTCCCATGTAAGCATACCCACTTAACAAAAGAAGGATATCCTCATATGTGACGTATTCTTTCAGGGACTGTCTCTTGATGATTTTAGAGGACTACAACCTGGTTTAAACTTCCACTAGTTCACTCAAGGACTCCAACATGCGAGATGTAACAGTCAAACTGTTGCACTCTTTTATCCTCAGGTAACAGCTGCCAATGAATCCTGTACAGAGCACCACTAGAAGAAGCAGCAGGAGAAGAAGAAGTAGAAGTAGAGGTAGAAGAAGAGGAAGCAGCAGAACAAGAAGAAGAAGCAGAAGAAGAAGCAGTAGGAGAAGTAGAAGCAGAAGAAGAAGAAGTAGAAGCAGAAGGAGAAGAAGAGGTAGTAGGAGAAGAAGTGGAAGCAGAAGAAGAGGCAGTAGGAGAAGAAGTAGAAGCAGAAGAAGAAGCAGAAGAAGAAGGAGAAGAAGAAACAGTAGGAGAAGAAGAAGTAGAAGCAGAAGAAGAAACAGTAGGAGAAGAAGAGGAAGTAGGAGAAGAAGAAGTAGAAGCAGAAGAAGAAGCAGAAGGAGAAGAAGTAGGAGCAGAAGAAGAAGAAGCAAAAGAAGAAGGAGAAGAAGAAACAGTAGGAGAAGAAGAGGCAGTAGAAGAAGAAGTAGAAGCAGTAGAAGAAGAAGTAGAAGCAGTAGGAGAAGAAGAAGTAGAAGGAGAAGAAGAAGAAATAGAAGGAGAAGAAGAAGTAGAAGCAGTAGAAGAAGAAGTAGAAGCAGTAGGAGAAGAAGTAGAAGAGGCAGAAGGAGAAGAAGAAGAAGAAGAAGGAGAAGAAGAAGGAGAAGAAGAAGAAGAAGAAGAAGAAGAAGAAGAAGAAGAGGCAGAAGAGGCAGAAGGAGAAGAAGAAGAAGAAGAAGAAGAAGAAGAAGAAGAAGAGGCAGAAGGAGAAGGAGAAGAAGAAGAGGCAGAAGGAGAAGAAGGAGAAGAAGAAGGAGAAGAAGAAGAAGAAGAAGAAGAAGAAGAAGAAGGAGAAGAAGGAGAAGAAGAAGAAGAAGAAGAAGAAGAAGAAGAAGAGGCAGAAGGAGAAGAAGAAGAAGAAGAAGAAGAAGAAGAAGAAGAGGCAGAAGGAGAAGGAGAAGAAGAAGAAGAGGCAGAAGGAGAAGAAGGAGAAGAAGAAGGAGAAGAAGGAGAAGAAGAAGAAGAAGAAGAAGAAGAAGAAGGAGAAGAAGGAGAAGAAGAAGAAGAAGAAGAAGAAGAAGAAGGAGAAGAAGAAGAAGAAGAAGAAGGAGAAGAAGAAGAAGGAGAAGAAGAAGAAGAAGAAGAAGAAGAAGAAGAAGAAGAAGAAGAAGAAGAAGAAGAAGAAGAAGAAACAGCAACAGAAGAAGAAGCAGAAGGAGAAGAAGAGGCAGAAGCAGCAGAAGCAGCAGTAGAGGAAGAACCAGCAGAAGAACAAGCAGAAGAAGAAGCAGAAGATGAAGAAGCAGAAGATGAAGAAGCAGCAGAATAAGCATTAGACAACAGTACAAAGTGCAAGTTAAAAACCCTGAAAAATCATATCATCAATAAATAAAAATAAAATACAATAACATAAAATAAGAGTTTGCAGTGAAGTGAAGCTGACTCAGAACAGTGGTGCTTTGAGCTGAATGCAAACATCAGCAATGGATAAATAAAACATAAACTTTACGATGGTGCGAGATGAAGAGTCAGAGGATCAGTAAAGTTATTACAATTCATCCTGAGGGGAACATGAAAGTCTGAACCACATTTCATGGCAGTCCTTCCAACAGCTGTCAAGACATGCCCGGACCTCACAGGAGATCATTTAAGTTGGGTTGAGCAAATGTTTCTACTTCCATGCTGTGGTTAGCACAGATCCCTGACAGCGATCTGCTTATGACTTGATTTATTAAAGAGGGTGAAGATTTTATTTAAAATATTTAAACATAAAAAGCTATTTCAGAGCAACAGGCTTCATTCACTGACATCTTAGATTTTTTCTTAAGGAAGGTCTATGTCAGGTGGTCCTTTACTGTAGAACTGTTCACACCTTTGCTCTCATAATGATGAATCCCATTGTCCCCCCATAAGCTAAACAGCTGGCTTGGGACTTCAGGGCCATGTGCACAAACAGAAACTGAAGCATAAGAGGTAGAAAGGTTGACAGAAGTGGGGCACCCACATCTGGTGGAGCGGGCGCCCCATGTGCAGGGGTTGCGACGGGCCCCAGTGCACGCTAGTTACTAGTTATATAAGGTACACAGCTTTGCTACTCTTATCCTTTCTGCCACTTGTGTGCCACCCCTCTCTCTCCCCCTTTAACACTATAGCTGTCCTGTCAAATAAAGGCAAAAAGCACCGAAAAATATCTAGAAAGCTTGAGAGAATTAAGTCAAAAATGCCCAAACTAAAGTCTGAAACAAGTGGAATAGCTTCAGGGGATTTAAAATAACACCAAAAGATGCATGCATGTTAAAAACACGTGTTAATCAACCACTGAAACTTGCAAACAGACATCACAACAAAGTTCTTCACAAAAATTAGGTGTCAACTAAAATGACTAAAAGGCTAAAGACTAAATGCAACATCTACTCGGAGAGAAAATAGTGTCAGCGCCATAGATGCAGCAAAACATGTCAGTGCATGTCACAGCCTGTTTTTCGTCTAAAAATAAACACAACCTCACGTTGTGTAAATCATGTTCAAAAGGGTCAAAAGGTCCAAAAGGGGGTCCTGGGTACATTTTTAATGGACCGCCGGTGACTCACAAAAGGTGTCAGTTTTAGTTTAGTTTTAAGTACAGTGAATACTTGGCACAGGGCTTTCATTTTGAAGTGCTGTTTACTGCTGTAGAGTGAGTGGCTAACAGACAGCTACTTAAAGGGGAACTAATGTTTTTTTCACCCTGGGCCCTATTTTCTGATCTACTTTTGTCTAAATGAGTGATAGGATGTTCAATATGTGACATTTCTCCAGTACGAAGCTAGGGCTGACCTGCCTGCAGCCCGTGAGCGCGCGCTATATTAAATAATAGGGCACTCAGACAGCGCCAAACAACGTCAAAATACGTCCACTAAAAGTGCATTTTTTTCACACAGATAGGCTCGGATTGTTAGTATAATTATCCAACAACATAACGGAAAGGAGAAATGAACGTCTGTGTTTACCTTTAGCTGGATTCAGACATGTTCCTCTGCCTGTTGCTGCTCCCTCTCTCTCCTCGTCCGCTCTTCAGTTTCAATGAGCTCTGCGTCTGTGTACTGCGTGTACTGCGTGTACTCCGTGTTCAAATAAATACGGGCGGTCATCAAATTCAAATGGCTCATCCAGATCCAGTTGGTCAAAATCGGGTAAAAATTTGGACATGTTTGTTGTGGCAAGTCAAAACACCCACTCAGAGAGTGAAAGTCTGGCTCTGAAATCTCACGTCTCGCGAGATTTGAGTTGTTGCAGGAAGTTACCGCTGGAGTGACCTTACAAACGCGAGGAGTTACTCTGTTTGGCGTAGTCATGGCTGAATTTTTACCCGATTTTGACCAACTGGATCTGGATGAGCCATTTGAATTTGATGAGCGCCCGTATTTATTTGAACACGGAGTACACTGATTTACACGGACGCAGAGCTCATTGAAACTGAAGAGCGGACGAGGAGAGAGAGGGAGCAGCAACAGGCAGAGGAACATGTCCGAAACACAGACGTTCATTTCTCCTTTCCGTTATGTTGTTGGATAATTACACTAACAATATGAGCCTATCTGTGTGAAAAAATGCACTTGTAGTGGACGTATTTTGACGTTGTTTGGCGCTGTCTGAGTGCCCTATTATTTAATATAGCGTGCACTCACGGGCTGCAGGCAGGTCAGCCCTAGCTTCGTACAGGAGAAATGTCAAATACTGAACATCCTATCACTCATTTAGACAAAAGCAGATCGGAAAATAGGGCCCAGGTTGAAAAAAACGTTAGCAAGGAGAAATCTGGACCCCGTGGCTGGACCAGAGCTTTAGAAAGCTGTTTATCCAAGAATCTGTGAAGGACATGTGGCAGCAGGACGAATCTGTGACAAGACAGAGGAACGGGGTGCACATTATCCTGTCATAACTCAGCTCACATTCAACAGGTCAGATATTTGTATTCAAGTGGATGACGATGAAGAGGAGGAGGATGTGGACTGCACACAGACAGAGAGGAGAGACAGAGACGGAGGACAGCTCTGCCCCATCATGCAGCTGCAGTGCCAAACGGAGGACACAGGGAGAGAGAGTGGTGACAAATAAATAACTCCAGAATTTTCGCAATGCTTAGAACAAAAAAACAAACAAAAAAATTGTAATTGTGCTTTGGCAACACATATGAAATGTCACGCCAGTAAACTTTATTTAATTAAAATGAACCTGAAACTGTTGGACAGGGTTGAGGCCAGGGCTCTGTGCAAACCATAGACTGAAAATAATGGTCGTAGCCACCGTGCCGTCGCCCACTGGTTTGTGGACTATCGTTCTGAAGCCTTGAGTTTGGCATTTTGACTGTCGCCATCTTGGATTTCTGGAGCCAGACATGTAAATATTTGGACGAGAGGGCGGAGCTGTGGAGGAGCCCGAAGACACTATACACGCCCACCTACACTGGCAACCTGACTGAAGTGAGTGTTTTTCTGGCAGAACAAATTGTGATGAAACCCAATCCAGACCCTCAGCTCAGACCAGGCAGCAGCATGAGGTCACTGACTGTACTGTACGATCTGTAGCTGGCAGTGGCGCCATAGGCAGTCATTATCCATTTCACTTGACACCTCTTATCGTATGTTCGTTGCAACACATTAACCCAATATGAAAAACACAGACTCTATCCTAGCTGCTCTCTTGCAGCCCTTTCATGCCACAATGCTTCCTCAGACATCTTCACACACA